TCTCGTCAGTGACATTGCGGGGCAATTGTAGGTCACTGCGTTGGCAGTACAAGAGTTGGACCTCTTGGGTTACTGCATATTTTTATATGTCACGTTTGCTCCAATGATGATCAGCATGATTCCAATCCAGTGAATTTCAAGCGGACACTCATTTCGTTACCAGCGACCTTGAGTGGTAGCTGCCTGCTGAGTACCACAGTTCAGGTCCACCAAATTTTCCGTTGCACTTTGATGTCTGATCCTCCTGGCCGCGGTCTGCCGGAAGCCAGATACTTTGCAGCTGTCGGCTTGGCTAAATGCTCTGGCAATGAGCAAATGGAGTGGTGCTGTCTGCAGGATACCACTGTGTCCATGTCCATTTTTTTAGTTACAATTTTTGACTGTCCATAATGGCTCCATGTCCATGATTTTTGAAGTCCCGTGGCACCGCGTGGTCGCTGCCAGCTGAGTACCACGGATGCGGTTCATTATTTTTCTGTTTGATGTGACTGATTGTCACCCTGGCGCAGTCTGCCACAAGCCAGATGCATTGCAGCTGTCGGCCTGGCCAAATGCTCTGGCAATGAGCTCATGGACTGGTGCTGTCTGCGGGTTACCATGGTGTCCATGATGTATTTTCGTCACTGATTTGAGTCTTTTTGTGGCTGCAGTCTGCAACATAGCCACAACATTTGCAGCAGTCGGCCAGGCAAAATACTTCGGTCCTGAGTCCAGATACCATTTTTCCAGTGACATTGCGGAGCAATTGGAAGTCACTGTATTTGCAGTGTAAGAGTGTCAACTCTTAGGTTACTACACCGTTTACTTTTTGAGCCCTACTCCAACATAGTCATAGGACTGATGTTCAGTATCCTCTTGACTATTTTAAGGAGTCTACCAGGTACGGGTAAGGGAACGAATACCTGGCAGAGGTATGCACCAGGGTGCACGCAGCGTGGGCTGCTGTGACAGGGTCACATTAACCAAAGCACTTTTGAACAAAGACTCTCAAGCTTGTGCGAAAAAAAATTCAGTCCGAATCTGATTCGTCTTATCTCAAGTCAAGTGTAACTGATGCAGCCGAATATTATTATATATATATATATTGAACAATAGCCTACCAGAGACGATGCCTTCGCAGTGCACCCCTTCGCCTTTGGGCGCCCAGTTCTGGTGGTGCGCGTGATGCCCCACGAGAACAAGACGCGCTGGGCTTGGTGGAAGGGAGGGGACCGGACACCCGGCGGCTTGGGGAATGGTGGACCATCGTGCTGGACGGACGTTGGGCAAAAACAGGGGGGGAAAGACAATCACTGCACTGAACATCAACACCTGAGAGACACTGAGAGATACTGTATGGTCAAAGAACACTTTTTGGTACAACTGTTTGCGCATGTTGGGTCGAATTGAGTGTTACAACTTTTACCACCTCAAGATGGATGGTGCTCCGACATGCTCAGACGCTGTACCCAACGAATGTTCCCCACTGTTTGCCATAACAAGAGCGGCCCTTGATCGTTTGAGGTCAGAGAGCAAGGCAGATACGCCTGAAGCACCGACGAGGCAGGGAGTCCCCCCACGAGTGATTGTCTTGCAAAGCTTCGGATGTGCCTGTTTTAGCGCATCAGGAGCCCCTGTTTTGGATATTTGATGATCTTTGCACGTATTTTCCTTTCTTTTCTTTTCTGTTCGTCGCTTTGGTGCATGGGTTCAGGATCTGTTGCAGGAGCAAGGAAAGAATCCCAGCCTACCAAGTTGTTAATCATTAAAGGAGTGCCAAGCGCATCAACCATGGAACTGGCACACATGTTCTTGAAGTCCTTTTTTCTCCGGTGCTAAGCTGGCGCTCAGCTTCTCCGATTTCTTTTGCTACATCATTCTGCTGGATGGAGCGTCCAAACCCTACAAGTCCAAAGACCCAGTAAAACTTGGTCTTCTACCTCCTTATGTCTTGGTTTTGCATCAAACTGACGGAAACATCAAATCCTCGGCCTTGAGGCCTGAAAGCAAGACAGGCACGGCCACCACGGCTGACACGGCCCAAGCCACCAGGCGGGACGTTGTCCCCACAGAGCAGACCGCGGGGGGGTGGCCACGACCGAACGGACGACGTGATCGTCGGGTTGTCGGTCAGCTTTTTTAGGAATGTGGATCGAAGTGATAGAAGTGATGACTGGCATAGATTTCAGCAGATCGCTTCAGTGAGATGTCTGGTGAACACTTCAAGACCCGTCTCGAAGCTCAATGCTTGTGGATATGTGGGACCGTGCTTGGGGGCCTGTGTTGATTCTGGAGCCCTCACGAGTTTACTCTGCCAGCCCTTTGACAAAGCAATGCCCCTACTGTCAAGTAGAACGTAGTAGAACGTGATCGAGGCCAGAAACCCACTTTTCAAGTGTGACCGAGGCCAGAAATGACATGAAATGGCAATCTTTCATATGCTTCTCATGCCGTCTCGTTGCTCGTCATTGTGCTTCCTCCGAAGCTGGTGGTGCACATCCTCGTGGAGCTAAAATGGAAGAATCGACGCCGTGGCAAAGTGATGTTTTGGTGGATATGCCCCCTAGAAGTCCAAAGACTATTATTTTGACCGGCTGAAGTAAAGGAACTTCCCTTTCAGGTCCCCTAAAGACCATTCTTTTTAGATAAAGTCTTTGACTCCCAGGGTGTCGATCACTGCTGACCTCATCAATCACTTTGGAGACTTTCCTTACCAACCATGGAGTTTTAGAAGACTATGTGGTGCACGGCTTCTGAACTATGCCATACAGCCTTTGGCTCACCCGAGCCCGAGCCAAAAATTGTCAGTTCTTTTTTCGGCTTTTGCTCGTTGCAGGCCTGAAAGCAAGGCAGACACGACCAACACGGCCGAGGCCCAACAGAGCAGGCGGGACAATGCAAAAGCCACCCGGTCGGGATGTCACACGTTCGCGCTCACGAGCAGAACACGGTGCTTTGTGAAGAGAAAGAGCTCCTTTGCACTTCACATTCCATTCAGCGCATCATTGTTTGCAATTCGTTTTTGGTGCCCTTAGGGGTTGATTCTGATTCTCGACTAACTAAAAGTACAGGGGCGGGCCTTGCCCACGTACAGCCCCCCCCCCACGCGTACAACCTCCGCTGGTTTGGTTGGTTCTTCGGCCTCGCTTGTGCCCCTCAACTCATTGCAGAAGTTTCAGCAGTTTCAGCAAAGCAACAAGAGATCAGGCCAAGAGCAGCCGGTTGGGAGTTAGAGGCGCTTTTGACACTCGGAGTTGGTCACCAGATGTCTTAGGTCACTTCGCCTTGTTCATCTCTTGTTGGCTTGTGCCACACATTTTTTATGCCAAGACTGGCGCGCTTTTTCGCCTCCTTTCGAGGCCTGAAAGCCAGGCGGACACGAGCAACACGGCCGAGGCCCAACAGAGCAGGTGGCAACTCTGACCGTCGGTGTCGAGGGCGGATGTCTTTCTTACGTTCGCGCCGTTTTGGCACGTAGTTTTGCCAGAGGGGACGAGGAGCAGCAGGAGATTGCTTTAGTTCGTTAAATCATGTTAGATCCAAACATGCACCGTATGCATCCGTATATGTGACATGCCCCAGCGTTGGCGATCAGTTTGTTAAGAATTCCTCTATCCATGGCCACATCTTTCTTTACCCCTCATGTTTGGAAATCTAAAGTGACACCCTTTGCATCAACAAGCTTCTTTCTCTTTTTTCTCGAGCGAGATGCCTGGAGCTGAATGGGTTGCGGACCTTCCATCATCCCACACCCAATCCCCAGTAGGTGCCCACACCACGTGCCCGCACCACGCGCCCTTTGGCAGTTCGGACGAGAAGTTGGAGGTGAAGGTGGTCGCGGATTGCGCGGGTGGCGCCAACGAGACGAGCTTCCGGATGTCGGGGTCGCCCAGATGGGTGGCGCAGCAGCGCAGCGGCGGTGCAGCGGCGCTGTGGTTGGAGGGTGGAGTGGGGTGCCAAACGCAGACTTCAACGGCGGGTTGGCCTTGAAGTTATCAGTGGGGCTATTGTTTGGAAGCTCCCACATGGTTCTGATAGAATTCTGATACCACCTCACTACGTCACTTTTTTTGCCTTCTGTTTGGGTTGCCTTTGTCCCCGGCCGCGCACAGCAGCGTCCCGCAGCAGCGTTGCGCCGCCTGATCGCCCCGAAGGCGCCGGTCCACGCCGCTGAGAAAGATGATGGAGGCGGGCTCCGACCACGGACAGACCGGGGCCGAGTGACGCCTTCAAATGGACCGCCTTTCGATGGGTCCGCCAGGCATTTGGCTGGCAGAGAGAGGGAGAGAGGATTTGTTCTTCGTTTTTTTTGGGAGGGGAAAGGGGATGGGTCATCAAAAGCTCCCGCTGTTGCGCGCGGAACCGTGCCGGACCGTGTGGAGGCCTGGTGCGAGCATCATGAGCTGTCGCTGGCCGAGGCAAAGTTTATGCTCGAGCCTGAGCAGAGAGTCTTAATGCCCGAGGACGGCAGGTTTGGATGGGAAGGGCAGGGTGGTTTGGGTGGTTTGGGTGGAACTCAGGTCATGATGTGCAAGAGGTGTATAATGGCAATGATGCACCAGTGTCTACGAACAACTCCCTCCAGAGCCTTAAAAAAGGGGGTGTTCGTATTCACCGTTGACCACTTGAGTGCGGGTCCTAACCCGCACCCCACCTGCGGTCCCCGGTTCCTGCAGGACAGCTTGCTGACCTTGGGCCTGCAGAAGTCGGTGCTGGTGCGCGCGGTGGGGCACCCCCAGCCGGATTCTGCCTGACATTGGAGAGTGATTTTTTTGGGGGGGCTTGTCCACCTCTACCGCTGAATTCAGTGCACCTGCCAGGCTAGACCTCTCGGCACAATCGAAAGAAAGAAAGGGGGGGCTTTCCACTCCAAGTTCTTGCACAGATTCAGGGAGACGGTGATGTGCAGTCCATTCCATCATAAGCTCTGGTGTTCAATTCGTTTGGTGTTGAAATCAATTAGAATAGCCTTTGGAATCAGCACTGGGCAAATTAAAATGCTCTGCAAATCTGACCGGGGTAAATGCTCTGCAAATCTGACCGGGCTGGCTCCAAACTGAGGCTAGCTGATGTGAACTGCTGCACTTCTCCGTCTTTTTAAATCAATTGTTCTTGGTGCATGGTGTTCAGCGGGTCGCAAGCAGCAAGAACCGGCCTTTCTTCGGGCCACCCAAACCCTGGCCCAAAGCCATGTCTTGAAAGAGACGCCACAGTACGGCGGCCCAACGAAAAACCCCAGGTTTAGAGGGACAGGTGGGAAGGACGAAAACCTCTAAAACTCTCTTCCATGTTTTGGGATGTGTTCGGTGCCCCTGGCAGCCCCAAAATTGGCGTCGTTGATCGTTTGGGGTGGCCAAGCGTCATCTCACTCAGGCATGTGATTGGAACGTATTGGAACAATTCAGCCATCTCAATTGTCCATTCCCCTCACCTCTTCTCCCCTCGTTCCGCCCTTGCACCCAGAGGTCCCCACTGACGCCGACCCCGAGCCGGCACCAATCCCTGAGCCGCCAGCCGCGGCCGCCGTCCAGCCGGCCGCTGTCGAGCCCCCAGCAACTGCTGCGGCCACGGCGGGAGCGGCACAGGAGGAGGCGGGCGTTCTCGGTGGGGCGTGGGGCGTGGGCCGTTGGCCAAGACATGTCCGTTGGCAAAATTCTTGCAGATGGCATTGCAGGTGCTGGAGATATCTGGAGGCAGTGAGCAATATCCTGACAAACAATGAGTGGGTTTGTGTGTCATGAATTCATGAACTGCTTTGGATCATTTCAGCCTCAGAACTGCAGAAAGCATGGGGGCCCGAATTTGCCACTACGACTGCTGTGCCACGCTGTCCCAACAGACCCCGCCACAGGCCCTTGCGACGGAGGCGGCCATGCCCGAGACGGAGAAGGAGGAACCGATCGAAGTGCGGGTGGTGGCTGATGGGAAGAACGGCGAAAATGTCATCAACTTCAAGATGAAGCTTGGAACAACCTTTGGCAAACTGATGGCTCCTTGGAGGCAGTGACGACAGCTGGCGTTCTCAAAAGCAAGTTTTTTTTGCAGTTGGGCGAGTCTTACCAGAGTTGAGACCACCGTGAGCCTGAGCTACAAATCATAAGGCGCAAGGCTTCAAGATCTCCAATAGCGTTGCATTTTATTGCTTTTTTTTTGGGGGGGGGAGAACTAAGGAGCCTAGACTGCACCACCCTATTATCCTTATGCCGCATTATGCCGCGGGTATTGTGCCCCACAACGCAAAAGCGGATCCAGAGTTGGGGCACTGTTGCGAGCACCCCAATCAACAGCTTACAGCTTGTCGTGTTTGGAGGGTCTTGTTTTTTATTTTTGGGTGGCCTTTAATTCATATTGGAATGCCGTTCATCCTCCTCCTCATGCTGCTCCTCCCGAGCAAGGCTCGCTGGTGTGCACATCAAGGGGTGCCGCGCAATCAAGCTTGCTTCAAGGTGGGCGAAAGAGAGCTGCTTGACTGGCAAATTCGTTGTTCCAAGCAGTACGGATCACGCTTCCCCAAGCAAACATCGCCAAACTAAAAAATAGTAAAAGTCCTTCCTTAGCCAAATCGAAATTGCGAAAAACCACCCTAAAGCACCCCATCCTTACTTGGGTCCGTCCCTGATGTACTTTCCATACTACTTCCATTTGCTTTCCATCCTCTTGTCCTTCGCTGACCTCACCAGGTCTTAGAGTTCGGTATCGGGACGTTCGTTCCCTACGTCCCAGGCTCACCGATGACGACACTCCCCAGACCGTGGGTGCCACCGACCGTCCCGGAGCCGAAGGAAGGGGCGGATGGGCCGATCCCCGCGGGGCGGAACGGGCGGTGGTTGGAGAGATTGGGTGAGTCCGATGTTTAGTATGGACCATCCAGTTGTTAACGGTTATTTGATGGTCCAATTTTTCCTCTAAATGGAGCCAGTAATCAGTTATATACCATTTTTGCAAGAGAAACACGTTGGAGACCGACAATTGCACACTTTCCAAGCATGTTGCCCACCCTTTGCATCTTTGATGCACTACTCGAGGCTGATAGTTACTTAGGGACTCAAGACATTAGGGAATTAGGGCTTGTGAATGAGGTACATCATCACCTGACAGCTCACTGGGGGCCCCTGAAAGTGTGCCTCTTGACCGACATAGCCATATAGCCAGCCATATAGTTTTTCATGACAAGTCCGGTTCGATTTTTTTGGGACGCCGATTTGACAGTCATCAGTTGGTCCAACGTCATCCGGTGCTGCTCAGTCCTGGTGGTGCGCGTCGTGCCTTGCAGCCCTGCCAAGAAGCCCGGACGCACAGAGGACCGAAACGGCGCGACACCGCGAAGCACGCACAGCCGTGGCCTCCCGGAGCGTTTGTGGACTCCGAAGGTTGAGCAACATGGTTTTATCCATCCTTGGAGGCTGAGAACGGCACCGCCGTGGCCTCTAATTGAAGTGGATTGCGCACCAGAGTGGCAGAGTTTTTTGGTTGACGCTCGTTTGGATGGAATCCCTTCACAAGAATGTCATATGTAGGGCTACCCGTGCGTGATAATTGTTTTGGGGAGCAACTATGCTAGTAAGTAAGTATGTTCTTTGGCTTCAAGAGAGTGTAGGTCTCCCAACTGGATCTGCACATGCCTGCGCAGCTGGCTGAGCTCAGGCAGCTGACCGCATGCCCCCCCCCCCCCACCACCCCTTTGCACGATGCCTAGGCGCAAGAGCAGCGAGGGAGGCACCCCCAAAGCCAAGGCCAAACGTACCAGGCGAGGGTTCTCACCACGGGAGGGAGCGGATCGGATTTCGGATCCATCAGGTCGTGACCCAAAGAAGACCCACAGATCTTGGGTCGCTTCGTTTAGAGAAGGAACAGGCAACAGCGAAGACACCGCGCAAAAGGTGTTTCCTATCATATGCTGAATCCTTGTGTTTTTGGCCACGGCCGAGACGAACAAGTACATTCAATGATATAAAATTGAATGGTCCTTGTAAGTCTTGTATACTGTATGCTGCCCAAGACCGGAGCACGGGGCCGCCATTGGGATGCCAAGCGACTCACTGGTGACTCATGCCATTCTTCGTCCATCCCCTAGTCCAATCATCTCCCCAGCGCTGAAGCTTCGCAGTTCAAGCGTTGCCGATGAGAAGCTGGAGGTGAAGGTGGTGGCAGATGGTGCAGATGGCCCGAGCGAGATGAGCTTCCAAATGTCCTGCTGGCACGGTTTTTTCTGGTCATGTTTCAACAGGAATTGAGGGCGAGATACCTTTTTGTTGCCCGAACAGTGGGCGAACACATAGAAGATCAAGGGCCATTCAATGCTTTGTGGTAGTTCTGGCTTTGTTGTTTGACAGGTGGGGTGAGATTTGGTAAGACAAGACTAATTGAAGGTTCATTTCTAGATACCCATTTGGGGGGCGGCATCTGTCTGTGAAAGCTATGTTCGCTATGGAACTCGGGGTCAGCACTGGGCCAGTCGCGACAAGCGACGCTAGGCCAAACGCTGGGCGCCCCATTCCGAACTGCTCCCAGACCAGTCAGCCTCCAACCTGGAAGGGGGGTGGGCCAGAGGGTTTTTTGAGCGTCCCCAGGTTGCAGCGACAGGGCACCGACTCAAGAGCATCTTCAAAGGTTTGGCAGACCGAGCATTCAGACAGATGAAATGAAATCAATTGAAATCAGGATAAATCAGGTCACTTTTGGGACTCTATAGATCTCCATCCACCGTCCCACGTGGTTCGAACTCATTTTTCTCGATCGCCGCGTGGAACGGTGTCCTGAACACCTTCGCGGCAGGCGGCGGTCGACACCTCTGGGGAAGATGATGCAGGCGCGGGTCCGGCAGCGGGGGCGTCCGTGACATCATGAAGGCTCTCGTTAGGCCATATTAGGCCCAGTGTTAGGCCCTTATGGTGCTCATATGGTACTCATGCACCCTACTTAAGGGTTGCCTGATGGAAATCTAACTGGGGCGGCTTGGAAATTCATGACATCAACACCCTATAGCGAGTCTGTCTTCCGGGGTGCACTTTTCACCACCAAGCAATTCGTTTCATAATTCGATCTCGTTCGTTTAGTGCACAGTGCTGGCAGCTGGCCTCTTTGCTTGCCAAGACCCCGTTTTCTAAAGAACACCATCAACTGAACCCCACTCACCCACACTCCAACCACTCACCGTCCTTACGTGCACCGCGCACGTCAACGGACACCAGGCCTGGTGCGATCACCACGAGCTGCCCTTGGCCGAGGCGAAGTTTCTCCTGGAACGGCCCCAGCAGCGGGTCCTGACGCCTGAGGAGCCGAGTGTGTGTGGTGAGTGTGGACAGGTGGAACATTATGTCCCACATGGCGCAGGGGAAGAAACCAGTCATCACAGTCATTTTCTCAAGGCGATGGTGCGAAAGAAGAAGCCACTGTTAAATACTGAGTTCTTTTGTGGATTCCTCATGGATTCATCCTGATTCATCCATTTTCTTTCATTTCTGGGTTCAGCGCTGCCAGGTCAACTAGGTAACTAGGTCCTAGTTACCTGAATCCAGTTGGGTGCACGTGCAGGACACCTTGCAGGGCATCGACTGCCTGGAGGTGATCGTGCGCGCCGCCGGGCCGCCCAGCGGGAGGGGCGGATGCTGGGGCAGCCCAGCTGGGGCGATTGCGGCGAGGTGGGTTGGGGAACTGAGGTGTCACCAATGCGATGAGGAGTGATTCATCATGATGTGCCTATTGACAAATTGATGTCATATAATTGGCAGATGTGATTATAGCCACCAGGTTCTTTTTCCTTGTGAGTTGTGTCACCCAACTCTTCAAGAACAAAGACACACAGGAGAGCCGGTTCACTCAGAAGGCACCCGGCACCCGATGCACCTCATGTCCACCCAACCGCATCGGATTCCAGGTCCCGGCCGATGCGGAGCTGCCGGAGTCCTTGCAGCGCGCGGAGCCTCCGCCCGAGCCCACAGCGAAGGCGCCGAAGGCGAAGGCGCCGAAGACGGCGCCGAAGGCCAAGGCCAAGGGCCGAGGCCGTGGAAGAGGACGAGGCTCGGAGGTGGGAGAGATGTCTATCAAGTCTAATGAGTCTAATGCTGTTTAAGACAGAGGAGAATCAGAAGACTTATATTTGTACAAATTCCCTTCAAGCCCTTCCTTCCAAAAGGATGTTAAGATCTCCATGGCGGGTCCACGTTTGGCTGTTCCGGCCACACCTCTCTGCACATTCGGTGGAAATGTCTCCACTCGCTTCCACCTCCTTTGGTCTCGGTTCGAGCGCCAGGCAAGAAGAAGCGCAAGTCCAGCGACGAAGCGGAGGAGACTGAGACGTCCAGCTTTTTCGTTTCATCTCTATGTCCGGGTGATGCTTCGGAGATCCGATGAGGAGCCCCCCTCCAAGTCACAGGCTCGGCTCTCAAGAGCCCTCTCTGGCTGTTCAACGTCAGCTCAGGAGTCTCCCACGGACCTTCCCGACGCAGCCGGCGCGCCTGGCGTGCCCAGCGCCGCGCAGAGCGTGGTGGCCGCGGCGACGCCGTCGCCGGCGCGGCGGTCGCAGCGGCTGAAGAGCCAGCCGCAGGTGGACGGTGGGAAGAGCACGTGGGAGCACGTAGAGAGTGGGTAAAGACTCCAAGATTGCTTTCTTGGAGTCTTCGCATTTTATTTTTATATCTTTTTCATATAAGTTTAATTTCTTTTGTTTTTTTGTGGGGGCTTGGAGGTGTGCCACACGAGGCAAGCGGGAACCTTTTTTTGCAGGAATTAGTTGCGCTTTCTTCGTGAACTCATTTTGTTGTGGGCTTGGCTGTTGCTACAGTAGGTGACCAATGCTGGATCAGCGCACATCTTCAAAATCCTCATTATTATATATCAAGGGGGATCGGATGAATGATTCATTTTCATATATCATATAGCCAGGATGTAAAATGCCTTGGATGCCAGGTGAACTGAACTTGTACACCTCAACTTGTCAGCTTCTTTTTGCTCCTTTCACCCTCGCAAATTCACAGGCCACCCCGACCCCCATGCCCCGCCACGCCACGGGGCACCCTTCCGCGAACCTCTCGCGGGCCAACGCGAGGTGACGACGGCGACGCTGGTGCATCACGTGCCGGTGAAGAGGAGGGAGTCCAAGGAGGCCCCGAAAGACACCAAAACACCGCCACGGCGGGGGCCACCGGGGTCACCACGCAGCGTGCGTCAAGCTGGCGCTGGGTGGGTATAGGGTATAGGGTCGGATGTTTGGAGGATGGAACCTGGGATGTTTTCGGGGGGGGAATATGGGGTTGTAGATATGCAGGGAGTGAAAGATAGTGAAACTGTCAGCTCTTTTCTTCTTTTGGATCTGTGTTCTTGGGGTGGTGCCACTGGTGTGTGGAGCGAACTGGTACTGGTTGGCCTTCGGGCGCTCAAACTTCTCTGGTTGGCCTTCGGGCGCTTCAATCCGATGGATTATGATGCCCTGAAGTCAAGGAGGATGAAGGGTGTTTTGTGCATTTCAAGGGTGACGGTGTATGAATTCCGATGGTGCCGGCTACCCCGTTCCTCTTCCGTGAGTCGAAGAATCTGGGTCCTTCGGCCCAGGGCCAAGCAAAAGCCGACGCAGCTGCGCCGGTCACCTCAGATCTTCGTTTCCCTGGGCATCTGCCGGTGAAGTAGGTAGAGAAGTTGATGTTTCGAATCCCCCGGGCCGGCCCAGGCCCCCATGGTTTTAGATCTCCAGGCTTGGAGGGTTTGATCATGTTTGATTCATCAACCCGTCTACTTTTCCTTGCTGCTTCGTAGACCACTCCAGTGTGGCTTCTGGCCACGGAGTATGCTGGCCGTGGACCCAACCCCTGGAGGCAGAAATTCCCATGCCTGCAGCTTCATGTCTTTGGCCTCGAGTGACTTAACTCTATAGACTCTCCACTCCACTCCAGAGACCGTGAAGGCTGGAGACCCACAAGAGCCAGGTACCATTTCCCCCACGTCACGGAGGCCGAAGTCAAGTCTAGAGTGTCTATAGACGACCTGCGAGGCCCGGGCCCCGGCCCCACGGTCACGAGCGGCTCGTCGATCGAGGCGGATGAGCTTCCGGGAGTACTTGGCCTATGACCGGGAGCAGGACCTGGGGTGGGTCCAGACCCGTTCCGCCTGGTCGAAGCTGGCACAGCCAAGACCTTAGAGAGAACGGGTGCAGAGGGCAACATGTGTTGGTGGGCGAGTCTAGTCAGTGCAGTGCTCAAGTCACAGCCATTTCCGAGGATTTCCGCCCAAGATGTCTTTTTGAACACAGATGGACGATTCTACCCCCGACTCCCCAGGAGAAGCAGCGGAACCAGGCACGTTTGGAGCGGCAGAAGCGGAAGTTCGTCAACGGTGACAGCGACGATGAGGTGCGTCGGATCGGTGTTTCGCATCCTTCGGTGCCGCAGCGGTTCGATCCTCGATGTGAGCAGAACCGGTCGAAAAGGACAAACGAAGGCCACAACTTGAGCTTTGGAACCCCGGTTCGTGTTTCGATCCCCTGGGGCCGCGCTTGGGGGTCAATCACGGTCAATAAGTCAATGCGGCCCAAAAGCTCCATAGTTCTCTGGTGAGCCGATGCTGCCCACAGTGGCAGGTCCAATGCAATGAAGCTCCATGTTCCGACCAAAAGAGCCCACTCACGCGCGCAAGTGCGAACGCACCACGAGACCCCGCGCGAATGCGCGCGCGCTTGGCAGGACTTTCATCTGGCGATGGCGCTCTCCCTCTCCGAAAGCCAAGCGGAGTCGCCGCAGGAGGTCGCGCCGGTGGGCGGTTTTCGCTGAAAGGGATCCGCCACCGAGCCTTGCAGTGGAGAACAGGGCCCACGTCGACGTCATTGGTCATCAGGATGACTCTGATGTACTCTCAGCGAGCGAAATCGCTGGTTTCCATGGTGCGTCTCGGTGGGTCTCGGTGGGTTCGTCGAAACGGGCCCCGGGCGGTTCGGTGCCCGGACCTTCGCTTCGGACCTTCCCAGTGACCCCTGTGAGATCCCAGAATCAAGAGAGAGAGAGAGAGAGAGGTCTGTAAAAGTTCGGGTACCAATCCTGAAGTTCAGTCACTGGAAAGGTCCTGGTTGATATAGAAATTGGGTGACTGACCAGGCCCTCCCTCAGCAGTTCTTCGGGCGTTCTTCGACCATCTTCGACCCAAGACCTTCAGACTGGCTTTCTCCACATCTTGATGTGTGGTTCTTATCATCTTAGTACCCAGACGCTCCATTCACAGCTGGGTGTCTCAAAAACCGGTTTTCTGGGTCCGGACCCCTCCAAGAGGATTGGACCCTCGGGTCCGGCATCCCTCCGTAAGCCACGGACGGCAGCTCGGGCCAGGACTCGGCCGGGACGTCCGCCACCGACGCCGCCGAAGCTGTGTGACCCAGCGTGGAGCCTCGGAGTTGTTTTCTTTTTGGAGAGTGGGGGGATGTTGTATGAAAGACTTATGAACTTATGAAGAACTATGACTTATGACATCTTGTTGCAAATCCCATGCATTTCAGGAATGCATGCATAGACTTCCCTGGCCTGACCTGACGTCCCTCCCTTGGTGATGGTGGACCGCCTGAGCAAAAACATTGTTAGATAACAGATTTCTAGAGATAATTTTTCCAATTCAGTGTGCAGGCCAATGTTGAAGAGTTCTTGCCGCAAGAAATCCTCATTCCTTACAGACTTCCAAAAAGCACCCCAGAGTGTCACGCTGCGCACTTCTCCAGGTTCCTTAAGGTCGCCACGCAAACCTCGGTGAACCGACCCTTTCGGGTGGCCGCCGACCTGGTCCGCGGCTCGCCCCGCGAACTCCGCGCGAAGCGCGCCATCCAACCGCTGCGTGCGGAGCGACAAACACCGTGCGACGGATGCGGTGCAGGGATGAGGGTCGCAGGTTGCGCTGGCAGCTGGCTCTCCGGGTTTCAGTTGTTGGCATCCATGGCTCGGGTCAGTGATGTTTGCTGTTTGCTTCTACTTCTACTTCTTGAGTTCGGGCTCACCATATTTGGCTCAAGAGTCCAGAGTCCTTGTTGTTTGCGATTTTTGTAAGCACTTCCATCCGCCACTTGCCATGAAGGCGGCGGTCTCCGCCACTTTCAGGGCGCTCCTTGTGGCCTTCCTTTGGGCACCCTGTTCGGCCCTTCGTTCTGACAAGTTCACCATCCGCGACTTTGAGAATGAGACAGTGGAGGGGTTGAACCCTCCAAGTCGCTTGGGTCATCATGTGAGTCGCATTGCTTCAAGAACCGTCCAATCAGGCTTAAGAAATGCCAAGCCGACCAATGCTTTGAAGGGGTTCCAGTTCCGCGGCAAGCCCGGTGGTGCACTCAATGGATTTGCCAAACCGCCTGGCTATGCATTCAGGGGATTTGGCCCAAACCAGTTCGGCGGCGGGGGCCTGGCTCGAGGACTTGGTTCTGGCTTTGGACATGGCCAATTCGGCGGAATGACCAACCAATTCGGCCGAATGCCCGGAATGCCCGGCGGCGCCAAGCGTTTTGCTTCAGGCAATGCGCAGGTGCTGACCAAGAATGTGCACACACTGGGGTTCCAAAACCTGAACAGCCTGACGGGCAACATGCAGCAACAGATCCTCGGTGACGTAGATCATGGCAGGGTTCCCACACATGCATACACCATATAATACATGTCCCATTTAATAACGCGGTTGACCTGGCCTTGCCAATGGCTATACAACACTGGTCGCTGGGGTAAAGGCTGTTACATAAATCAATGATGGTTGGAAGCCTGGAGCTCCGGGGTTTGTCATATGCATTGGCATGCCATGAATCAAAGGGGTCACTGGACTCCTCTCCACCAGACCAGGGAGATATCCAAACACGCGGATGGTATAGACACCTTCGTCGGATCATCCATCCACACATGGATCCGGTCGAGCACGCCCCTAATTGGGACGTCTCCCAGGTCGAACTTCGGAACGCCTCGCGCGCCGCCGGCACAACGCTCTGCGCCCTCTTGCGTCCGCCGCGTCCGCCGCGTCGCCAGCGCGGTTGAGGATCGTGAATGCCGTGACCCGCGCCGCCGAGCTGCCCACGTCGGAGATCGCCCAGTCGATCCGGAGCTCCGCGTGGCACATTTGGCAAGGCGGGGGCCGGCCGATCTGCTGCGTCCGATGATCGGCGAGCGGAGCGGGGGAGGGACGTGGTTCCTTGGTTCGGATGGTCGTCGTGTCAGAATGGAACTTCAAAGACCACAATACTATGGCAGGTCGGGCACGTGTCAAAAAAACATGCCAAAGCCCTTATTGTAGCTTCACCGTCCCTGGTATATATATATATATTGTATAATTAGTCTATATTCTCTTCATTGATCGCTTGTAAAGCGTTGCCTTCTTGGCATTTTCCTGTCCAGCTTTTTCCCGGAGCGCCCGAATTCCTCTTGGCCAGGCGCTCTCCACAATGATGTGCATGTGCTGGTGACGCGCAGCGAAGTGGGGATTGGAAGAGCCGCGAAGGACTTCGTGGGCAGGTTCAAGATCCAGAAGGGAGGCAAGGATCTGTATGTGACCATTCTCAAGCGGAGCGAGTTTGCGCCGCCCTTCAAGGTGAATGTCAACTATGGGGTTGGCCAGTCGGACAGAGTGTTGCTACGCTCCTTTGGTCAGGGCTTACGATATGTCCGGAACATCTTTCAACGAGACAGTTTGGTCTACATGAGAAGCTTCGGGATTGCTTCAGGCGGTTTTGCGATGTTCCCACCCAGTGGGTACCATTCCCACCCATGGTCATAGAATCAGCCATTCTATTCTTGCCATGAATGATCAATACTGAAAATAGTTAAGTTCTTTTAATTTCCTTTCTCTCTTTGTTTTGGTTCGTGGTTCAAGCTTGACTTCTGTCCTGCCCAGGAAAGCTCGTGGGTGAAGCGGTGGGCTCGGGACTGTCGGAGTCCGGCATGGCCAAGCAACTGGAGAGTGCCATCCAGCAGAAATGGGGCAGGGGTTGGAACATCGTGGTGTCCAAAACCGAGATGCAGGTGGCCGCGAATGTCAATGACATCATGGCGAAATTCAAGGCCCGAGCCTTTAGCGCGGCGCGGCGGATCCACCGAACTGGACGCCAAGTAGCACGGGTCTCCGGGACCGGGGACAGTCCGGGGCGGTGGATGTTGACCGGAACCACGTGCGTCTGCCGAGGTCGGGGCCAGCGAGTTCGAGGGTGATGTTTTTGGTCAGACAAAGGTGGCAAAGACAAGGTGAACCTACTAAGTTACTAGCGATGACCTCCAACCTACATCAACCTACTAGCGATGGCCTCCAACCTACATCA